CAAGCAGCCGCTTAGTTCGCTTATGCCTCGGGCCGGCCCTGCAAATGGTTGAATTATTAATCTACGGAGGGACTACCTCTACTTTGGAAATTGATTTAGGATCTATTGAGAATGAGGAGTTGACGTCATTGTACAGAGCCCCTCCCCTTTCCGCCATGTTGGTTGGATTCCCACAGCACATAGACATATACACTAGACCTCACCTTGGACACGGCAGTTCATTAGAACGAATGCGTCAATAGAGCCGCCATCTTGAAACAGGGGAGCCCCTCCACTTTAATGCATCAGCGTCAATGTAGTAGACACAGGTCTAACGCAAATAAAATCACCATAAATCATCATGAATGCGATTTTTCTTGTTTTTTTGGTTTGTTCCAACGGTCAGACATGTATTTATCATTGATTCCACAAAGAAAATTTTTTTTTATTATTATTTTTTTTTAAACATTCTTCCTAGTTCAGATTTCATCCGTGAACATCATACGCTGCACAAAAGTCAGCCACCATCAATGAATTCGAAGTAAAGGCAGAGATAGCAGCGTTACCTAGCTACTTCCTATGACAAGACCCCTGTTCCAAGATGGCGGCGGTTTTGGCGCATGCTTAGAACCCCCAGGTGAGGTCTAGTGTATATGTCTATGCCCACAGCAAAACAGTTTTGTTTACATGTGTTTTTAGCTCGGTAGTAGAGGAGTTTCTCGCAATTCCGCACTGTTTTACCATGCCTGGATGTCACTGCTGCGTTAAAATCTACTCCAGTACCTCACACGATGTATATGGAAAACAATGGAATACAGTTTTTTAGGTTACCGAAATGGACAGAGCAGGGAGGAGACCTGACGAGGAGACGCCGGATTGCTTGGTTTGCTTTATTTGCTTTTTTTTTTTTTTGGATTGCTTTAGCCTTTAGTATACGATTTTCACTGTTTGGTGTGCCTTAACGAACATATGCAAATGTGTTGTTTGAGTGCCTTGTTCATTACTTTTTTATTTCATTGAAATAAATGTTGGAAACTTGATGTGGCTTAAAGGATTAGTTCACTTTTGAAAAAACTTTTGCTGATAATTTACTCACCCCCATGTCATCCAAGATGTCCATGTCTTTCTTTCCTCAGTCGAAAAGAAATTTAGGTTTTTGATGAAAACATTCCAGGATTTTTCTCCATATAATGGACTTCAATGGGAACCGGATGGTTCAGGTCCAAAAGACAGTTAATAACAGTTTCAGATGCAGCTTCAAATGTCTTTAAACGATATCAGACGATGAATAAGGGTCTTATCATGCGAAACGATCGGTTATTTCAATGCTTATTCCAAAAATGTAACTTTTCTAAGGACAAATGCTAGCCTTTCTCCATTCTGTGAGGCGTGTTTGCAACGTCACGTAATACGTAATTACGTTCAAAAGGTCACGGGCGACGTAGCCAGAAGTACAGAGTCAGAGTGTTTACAAGTTGAACGCATAGGTTGAACGTGAAAACTAACTCAAACGGCGTTTACAAAAAAGGAATTAAAAGGTAAAACAACGATGTCGGACGATTTTGATTCTGTACTTCCGGCTACGTCGCCCGTGACCTTTTGAATGTAATTACGTATTACGTGACGTTACAAACGCGCCTCACAGAATGGAGAAAGGCTAGCATTTGTCCTTAGAAAAGTTACATTTTTGGAATAAGCTTTGAAATAACCGATCGTTTCGCATGATAAGACCCTTATTCATCGTCTGATATCGTTTAAAGACATTTGAAGCTGCATCTGAAACTGTTATTAACACTATCTTTTGGACCTTGAACCATCCGGTTCCCATTGAAGTCCATTATATGGAGAAAAATCCTGGAATGTTTTCATCAAAAACCTTAATTTCTTTTCGACTGAGGAAAGAAAGACATGGACATCTTGGATGACATGGGGGTGAGTAAATTATCAGCAAAAGTTTTTTCAAAAGTGAACTAATCCTTTAACAATATTTATTGAGAACTGAAATATATAGGCTACATATATATTTGGACAACATAAGTTTCATGGACAACATAAGTAATAATAATAAAATAATAATACTGTTATTAGTGCAAAAGAACAAATATATCGATGCTGCTTCTCCAAATACAGCTGTTTTGCACTTCATGTGAGATTTTTCCTGTAAGGTCCCTTTTCTTTTAGCATTGCTTTACTCTCTTCCTTTTTTCTCGATCCGTCTCTGTCCTGCCAAAATAATAAATGCGCGGAAATTAAAGAGCTCTGGAATGTTTAGTCAGGTCTGTGGGTTCTAAAGGCGTTGCCGCTGGTAACCATCATGGCCGACCGGCTCAGACCCCGCCCAAATCGGCACGTGACTCCTCATTCTCAATACCAGCAGATAAGCTTCACACATCAATTTACACTTAGTAGTTTTTCTTTTGTACTTACTGTTTGGGTGTTGACAATTATTGTTCTTTTTCATGGGAATATAAAAACAGATATGGTGTTTATTCATTTGGGCGTCATTTTTTTCTTCTTGAACAACTATTAGACAAGCGGAATCCCCCATTATTGCGCTTTATAACTTTGTTTTGCATTGAGAATACGAGACGGTTATAACATGACACTAATATATTTCAATAAACATCCATTTAACAACATAAGATGTAACCTGTAAAAAAAAAACCCTTCAATTTCAATGAAAAACCATGTGACGTTTCACTCATGTGAAATTTACATTTTCACTGTATTATAAAATTCACCTCCAAAAACTGTAAATTTAACAGTATTTAACTGTAAAATGACATATGCCTTTAGTTTTTTGATGTACTGTAGCATTTTATAGTCTTTACATTAAAATTATGATCTTTTTTTACAGTACACATCCATTATTTAGTGTAGTTTGTGCACGCGTAAATTATTTCTTCATCTGTTGCAGTGAGAAAAAGGGACTACACAAACTAATAGAGGCTTCGCTGTCTGTCGGTGAGATCTACCACGTTCTCATTAGAAAGCAGGAGACGCACTCGCTCTCTTCACACAAGAGCCGATTGGACAGTAATTCTCATTTCCAATTACTCACCAACAGAGAGGGAGAGGGAGAAACAGTGCAGCTGTTAAATGTTTCTATTGTCCATGCCCTGAAGATCAGAACCCTATTACCGTCCTGTCCCTGCTACGAACTCACAGAAAGCTTCCTGCTGAATGACAAATGAGCTCAAGCACAAGTCGAAACGCTTCCCTGAACGCTCACCTGAAACTTCAGCACAGAGTAAAAGAGGCAGACGGAACAAAAACACACCTCAGGCAAACCTATACTTTCTTAATAAATGTTCCTGATGTTATTGTGCGTGATGCATTGGGGAACATCAACACATTGTTTTCATAATCTGTCATTTAAGTGGAAGAACTTTCTCCACCTCTTAAATGCTGTTCCGGCACATTCTTCTAAACTTCTTTTTAAAGGGATAGTTCACTTTGAAATTCATTTCTGGTATGTTTTAGCTTACCTCAAGGGCATCCAAGATGTAGGTGTCTTTGTTTCCGCAGTAGTTTCAATTTTGATATTTTTAGGTCAAACCGTTCGTGTCTGTCTGTCATATAATGGAGGTCTATGGTCACCACCTCAAAGAGCATGCACAGAGAAGTCCAAATTAAACATGATTTAATGACTCGTAAATGTAAGTACACACTGATGGACTAAGACACGAAACGAGCGGTTTGTGTGAGAAAACGAACAGTATTTATATCGTTTTTACCTCTTGTTAACAGCTGTCGAACTGATCTGAATCAGATGTCCAACTCAACCGAACTGAACCGTCTCCAACGTGACGCCGGAAGTGATCGCGTGCGTATGCACGTCACGCATTGTTTACACAGAGATTTCGGAAGTTTTACCTTTCACTAAACATATTTAGATATATCGAAATCGTCTTCCATTGCGATTTCCCGTATATCTATATATGTTTAGTGAAAGGTAAAACTTCCGAAATCTCCGTACAATGTGTGACGTAGACGTAGATCACTTCCGGTGTAACGTCTGGAGACGGTTCAGTTCGGTTCAGTTGGACATCTGATTCAGATCAGTTCGACGGCTGTTAACAAGAGGTAAAAACGATATAAATACTGTTCGTTTTCTCACACAAACCGCTCGTTTCGTGTCTTAGTCCATCAGTGTGTACTTACATTTACGAGTCATTAAATCATGTTTAATTTGGACTTCTCTGTGCATGCTCTTTGAGGTGGTGACCATAGACCTCCATTATATGACAGACAGACACGAACGGTTTGACCTAAAAATATCAAAATTGAAACTACTGCGGAAACAAAGACACCTACATCTTGCATGCCCTTGAGGTAAGATAAAACATACCAAAAATTAATTTCAAAGTGAACTATCCCTTTAAGTCATATAGGTTTTAATAACAACATGAAGGCGAGTCGATGAGATCCACGGCTCAAAAATTGTGATCCGTAAGATTTCTTAATACTTTTAAATCACCAAGGCTGCTGTAAAAAACAATCCTGTAAAAAAACAGTGGCAGCTGTGGTTGCCAGCATCATACTGTAAAATTACGGTGTGTTACTGTTTTTGAAACTAACTCTAATACTGTATTGTCAGCTACAGTATTAAACTTTAATTTAACAGATATATGCTCTAACACAAAAACAGTAACAAACTGTATTGTTACGGTATTATGTTGTTTACCGTTATTTTTACAGGATTATTTTTTAGAGTGAAACTAATATTGACAGATATTATTGTTTTTTTTCTAATTTAATATATTGTCAAGTGTAATTTATTCCTGTGATCAAAGCTGAATTTGCAGCATCGTTACTCTTCTGTCACATGATCATTCAGAAATCCTTCTAATATGCTGATGTGCTGCATTATCAATGTTAAAAAACAGTTGTGTAGTGTTCAGAAGAACAGAATTTATTTGAAAGTAATCTTTTGTAGAATTATAAATGTCTTTATTGTCACTTTTGAGCAATTTAATGAATCCTTGCGGAATAAAAATCAAAAAATCGTGCCGACCCCAAACTTTCGAACTATATTATGTTTTCTAGAGCTATACAGTAAAACCAGACTGAAACTTAAATGGCTATTTCATAAAATATCATCCGAGTTTGATGTCATTAACTTCCAAAATGTTGTGACTTTTAATGATTTGGGAGTTTCTGGAGCTTCACTGTGTCCATTCCCTTTCAGTATGGGAGAAAAATCACCCATTTTGCTCAACTTTTGCTTTGTTTCACATGAGAAAGATTTTTAAAGTCATTTGAGTAAATTATGCCATTTTTAAAAAAATTTAATCTGCCAACCAATGTTGTTGTTGTGTAAAATGTGAGACCAATCAAATCATTATGCATCAAATCAAGCCCTGCATTACATTATTTCCCATTGTCTTTTGTAAAAGTCACGGAAGTTGAATGCACTGCAGATTGCATTTCCAATCGTCTTTAAAGTATCATTAAAGTAATTAAATAGCGGACTGTGGAATTTATTCATTCTGTCCTGCGTTTCCTATCACATCCATCCAGTGCCGTGACTGGCTGAGGGTGATAATGCTCATCACAGTGATTGTGTTCACACCTTCAGAGCAAAAGCAAACGTCTTAGGGATCAACACACCGAGATCAGACGCGTGAAACCCCGAGGACACGCACGGGACACACACATGTCAAAGGAAATGTGTGTGGGTGTGTTTGTGAACTGTAATGACATTTCAGATCCACATTTGTCCAAAGAACCAACCAATATCTAGTTAAAGGAGGCTTGCAGGCTCTGTTTCACGTCTCTGCGTGGAGTTTATTCTGTAACTAAAAGAAAAGGAGTAAATGTATATCACCCGGTTCTCAATACATAATTAAACTCTGCAACTGACCATTTCTCCAAATGATTTCCTATACAGTAGCCCTAAAAAGTTCATCCAAAAAAAGCATCTGTAAACAAAAGATGAGCTTTTCTAACAACTTTTCAATTATTTTTAAACCACTTGGTCTCAAGGTCATTTTTTGATAGCTGTATGTCATAGCTGTAGTCCAACTATTTTTCATTTTAATTTCATTTTATGAATTAAACAACTTGTAATCATACTTTATCATTAGAAACAAATGCAACAATCTGTTAAACATGAAAGTATTATGCAGTCATTTAAGATATTTCTTCTTATAAAACCATATTGGCATAAATAATTATATATATATATATATATATATATATATATATATAAAAATTATTCAAATTATTTATAAAATAGATTAAAGAACACTATTGACCCTTTTTTCATAAGAGTGCAGTATGTAAAATATGAAATATAAGCAACTCCGTTTAAAAAGTGTTTTGCAAATGCGTTTGGTATATGAGACACATTTAAATGAACTATAAGCAGAGCATTACGAGTGTCAAATTGGCTTCTCCTACACTCAAAATTCTTACAAAAATTGCAGCATGCCAAGTCTGCAGTGTAATAAAGAAGTTGTGAGTTATGAGATGGTCTTTTGCCGGGCATAATGGGAGTTAATCAAATTTCCCGACTGTGGTTTCTACTGTGATTGGTGTTGGCGTGGAGCAGACCTCGGGCGATCGCTCATTATAAGAGTTCAGTGTCATCAAACACTCTTGGTTTGGGTCAGAAGTTTCTCAGGTTTAATTCGAGACTGCAGATGGAAGTCTGAGAGAGTCCATAATTGACAGGACAAAAATAAATGAACTTTCAATGACTTGATCTGAAAGTGAGACAATTTTTACTATTTGAGCAATTATAAGCGACACAACAGTTTACAATAAGATTTCAATTTTTTTTAGCATTTGTTCAATTAACATGAAATAATGAATTTCTAAGTTTCAGAATCCCTCCGGAAGTAGTAGGTCAATCGGGTACTTTTTGTCTATACACTTTTATGCTTAGCCCTAACTACTTTGAATTCAGACATACTTATTTTGTCACACACAGTTTTTCACCTAGTATATTGTTCAAAACATGCACTTATAGAGTCACAATGACGTAAAATAAAAATGTAAATGTATTTTGTGTTATTGCTGGTCAACATAAACTGCTGTTTGGGGTCAGTAAAGGCCTGTTCACACCGGTGTTCTGCCAATTTTTGCTGCCTTGTCGAAAAATGCTACCGTAGCGCGAATTGATCACAGAATGCCGATTAAAGTCGTATGAAATACAATTATAATACAATTCTAAGTTATGAGTAGCTACTGTATACTGTAGACTACTGTTTTTATTTTTAAAACGATGTGAAAAGTAAAAAATTATCATAAAATATTCATCTTTGACTTGTCAAAGGACCTTTCCTCATAGTAACTGAAACTTTCAGTTATTCCTTTTCAGCTGGCTGACCAGTAAGCATTTTTTAAAGGGAAATTATACATTATAACAGGAAAATGTACCTTTTGTAGTCTGCACATGCGCATAACAGGTAAGTAGCAAATCTCGATGGGTAGCTTCAGCATGAATTGTCAGAACACCTGTACGAATTTCGCGCGCGATATTTGCCGACGCCTCTTGACTAAACAAAGGGCGCCAATGTGAGTATGCACAACGATACGAAAAACGCCAAGTGTAAAAGCGTCATTTAAAAAAAACGCCTCGGGACTATCCGACCAATGAGATTTCAGCCGTGTCTGGTGCTTCTGAAGTTACAGTAAAACACAACTTGGGGGCGCTTAAACACAAATCGGTCTACGAGCACACATACATAGCGGCGAAAAAGACTTAAGCCACCGTCTACACTGCCGGAAGACGAGGAAGATGCGAGGAAAATATCTATAGACCTTATTCAGAGCAGCGCCATGACAGGTATGAAAGTGAGGCTGTGAGGGATAGACTTACCGTGTTTCCAATGGCATCCGCTGTAAAAAGCTGAAGCGGCTAGATTACTTACAATTTTCCACAGCTTACATTGTCGGGAGATTTTCTTGGAAAGATATTTTTCCAGTGTTTCATGAGCAGAACAATCCGAAAACACATTAAATAACAGTACAGCCCATTGAAGAGATACATATCTATCCCTCACAGCCTCGCTTTCATTCTCATTAAAAATCAAAGATGGCGCTGCCGTGAATAAGGCGTATGGGCAGGATGAATGTTGAGCTGCTGGTCTCGGAGCATAAAGAGCTAGCCTATATGATAATATTAGTATTTCTGTAATAGTATATTATTATTTCTGTTTTAAATTAAGCACCATCTAATGTTAGGGAATTAATTTACATGTTCACTCGGCTCATAAGCGAAAATCGCTTGGGTGTGAACACAAAAACGCTGGCGAATAACGTGCGCTAATATTCGTCCCGGTGTGTACGGGGCTTAAGATTTAAAAAAAAAAAAAAGCTTCTCATCAAGGTTGCAATTATTTGAGCAAAAATACAGTAAAAAATTTAAATATTATAACAACTTAATATACCTGAGTTTCACTGTCAGACTGGGAAGACTGCAACAATGTGCAATATGGGGAAAAATTTGTTTTTTGAAAATTCAAGCTTGAAAACCTGCTACAGACTTTGCAAAAGGGCATAATATGACCTCTTTTACCTCAACATCCATGTGTATAGGCTAATTGACAAGAACGTAGATGTCCGTCTATTGCAGGATGTATATTTAAACAGATAGACTAATCTTCTACAGTCGTGTTAACGTGTGATCTGTTAAAGTGAGCTAGCACCATCTCACATCTATCTCCTTTCCCGCTCCTTCTATAATGCATGAGATCTGATGAATGTCTCACGAAGTCCCCGTTTCATGTTCTTCAGCATAAATATGGCCGTCTACAGGGAACCACGCCTGAACTCCCGATGTTTCTCCATCTGTTTAAAGACCGACGGGAGCTTCAGCCCTCGGCGCGTTCACGAGTGCCTCTGTTTCTCGCGGGAGCTTCAGTTTACCTGCGAGGGAAGAAACACGCCATTAACCGTTCGCGAGCGCGAGACTGACGTGGAAGGGTAGTTTATGGTATTTTCCTCCATTAAAAACTTCTCCAGATGGAGAAGGAACCCGAGACTGTCATTTAGCCTACCTCCTCTTCGCGTCTTCATTAGTGTGCGTCTTCCGCAGGAGCGCGCTTGTATTTCATCAACACAAACAGTTTGAGAAGAGTTCCTAATGTGCTGAGGGCTTTTCTGATTCAGTCTTCTCGTGTTCAACATTTCTAGCTAAACTCTCACAATGCAGCTGAGCCTTGTTATTGAATTTCACATTTACATACTGCCAGACCCCCGCGCGCTGTTGTATAATTCATGTCATGAAGTTAAATGGCATGCGATGAGATTTAGACGTGTTGTTAGGGAAGATTTGTCACGCTTGCTGTAGTTGAACTATTTGATAAATGAGTTGCTAACTACATTGAAACTGACAGGAGACAAAATATTTTACAAGATTAAATTTCCAGATTATATCATTTAGAAAAAATAGAAGAGGCACAAAAACAATGACCTTTTTAAACATAAATATTTCATTCATTGCATTTCTGTCATGATATTTATAGACTATTTTGCAAACAACACTGGTCCAGAAACACTTCGTGTTTCAGTTTGCAACTGTTTTCTTTATTTCACGTGTAAAGAAAAAATCTTAAAGATGTTTGTTTAACTTTTTGATTCAGTTTTATATGTTCTGTTGGTTGTAGTTTATCCCAGCTTTTATGTAGTGTTAAAAAACTGAAACAGGAAGTGCTTCTGGAAAATGCAAAATGGTCTATACTGGTGCTTGTTGGAAGTAATAGCTTGATAGTGTAAAATATAAACTGTTTAAACATTGCTTAAATATAATGCACACAACACTTGGCTACCATTCAAAAGTTTGGGATCAGGCCTACTTTATTTCAGTAGCTGTATAATGTTATCTTTTAATGTAAATATTTTTTTAAACGCTGTTCTGTTGAACTTTTAACCATTTATTAAAGAATCCCGAACAAAATGTATCACAGGTTTCCACAAAAATATTAAGCAGCAAAAACTGTTTTCAACATTGACATGTATGCAAATCATCATAATTTCTGAAGGATCATGTGACACTGAAGACTGGAGTAAGGAATAATGTTATTTCTGCTTTATTATTAGATTCAGATTAGGTGCATTACATCAGTGTTCAGCAACTGAACTGAGAACACAGTTCATTTACAGGACGATGTCTTCAGTAGCAATAAAATGTTCATGAAAAACTAAACAGCACTGGTGCAAGAGACCTTGAATAACATTATAATGGTTGCACTTCATTTTAAGTGCACTTACCTAGAAAAGTACAGATAATATAAGGTCACTACACGGGTTAAGGTTAGGTTAAGGGGGTTAATACCTATCCATTATTATAATAAGTGCATAGGGAACAGGACTGTAAAATAAAGTGCTACCATTATAATTATACTTCTGATAGGGGAAGAAAAAATGTATAATATACATAGTAGTACACAAATTTCTGGATATGTTTAAAAGTGTTGGCTTATTTGAAGAATAGCGTCTTATCACCACCGGGAGCAATCAAACTCTGACCGACATGACAGGGGTCTGAGATCCACAGAAAACAAACTAACTGAACCTTCAGTCTGAACTAGATTACAAGTGAAAATGGAAAACTTAAGAGCGCTGTGAGGTCGCAGTGAGTGTTCACCTGAGCATCTTTCTTTTTTGGAAACCAGGTCACTCTATCCATCAAACACAGCAATAAAGTACCAGAAGGAGAGGAGATAAGGTGAAGGTTGGTGTGTGTGAGTGGTAAAGTGGTTTTACGAAAGCCTGTGTGTGTGTAGATCTGTGCAGTGGACTGAAGTAGAGAAAGATGTGAAGATTTCTGCGGTATGTGTACTGTGTGCAGTGTGTGTGAATGTAATGTTTGCATTGAATGCACAGATGACCTGCTGCATACAGTATGTGAAAATGTGCAGTGTGCAACTGAGCACTTTGTGTGACATGAAGTTGTCAGAGTATCCCACAATGCACTTCACCTGAACTTTAATTTAGAGTATGAATGGATTGGAAATAATAATAATAATAATATCGTCCATGAATTTTGAAATCCATCCATCCATCGTCGCACACCAGGTGTTTTAATCCGTCTCTTTTGTCCACTTTCAAACACTTCTGTCCTGATTTCTTCGATGAGCAAGTATATATGGGTTTATTCAGATCTTTCAATCTAATGGACAAAATAAGCTGAATTTGCATATGAACGCGACCGGAAAAACACACGGAGAACATCAGGTTTAGTTTCTGCTCTGACAGCCACAAGACAAGCCGAACACTGTGAGTGTGTGTTAGAAATCAGAAACGCTGAGAGAACATTGTGAATGGTACATTTTTCTTCTTCAAACCAAACTTGGGTCTTCAGCCGACAGTTTAAAGGGATAGTTCACTTTGAAATTAATTTTTTGTGTGTTTTATATGTTTGTATGTCTTCCCTCAAGGGCATCCAAGATGTAGGTCTTTGTTTCCGAAATATTTTCAATTTTGATATTTTTAGGTCAAACCGTTCTTGTCTGTCAGTCATATAATGGAGGTCTATGGTCACCACCTCAAAGTCCATATAACATTAGACATCGTCTTTTTGTCTAATGACTGTACCTATACCTAACATTAGTCGTTCGTGGTCAAAACACTGTGGTGTAAACAGTTTGATGTAGGGATATTCACTGCCCAGAGCCTGTTAAACTAAAGCCAACCAACCCCGTGACGTCACATGTTAGAATACTGCGCAATGGCAAAAAGATATTACGTTTTTTTCTTTTATATGTTTACATTTATCATGATTCTTATATAATTGTTGATTATAGTGGAAATCCATCTTGTAAATCATGTAAACTTGATTGACTGCTTCATTTCCCCTTTAAGTCGTAACAGGGTGAAAGGCACTTCTGGATTTGCTTTGCGGTCCTTTATCTGCTATAACCACGCTGTAAGATTTCCAGATCAGGTCGTGTTTCTGTAGTTCTAATGAGACATAAGAAAACTACAAATTTGACTTGCTTTACGACTATAGAGCTGGTTAGTCCCGCCCATCCGTAAAACTCCAAGTGGACATCTAGGTTGAAAAAGCGTCAATGCAAGTGAATGAGAGAAAATAATTATTTTCTGATCCCGTTTGAATTGTGCCATGAATGTGACATATGTTGTCTGTGAATTTTTTATATAATTTCTCATGTAACGAGTTTGACAGGATATTGTATGATTCTTTGGCTAGCAGTTGTGGAATAGACATAACGAGAAAGACTACACGTCGCATATGTGACGTCGCCGCATAACAATTTTTCCCTCCACAAGTGACGGTTTTCACAACGCTCAACTAGTTTGGCGGTGAAGCGCACCAAAGACACAGGCATGTTTAGCGGGATCCGTGTGCTGGTGGGGGTGATGTATATCAAACACGTCGAAAGAGTTGTAGTCCACAAAGTGCTCTCACACAAAGTCTAACCGTATGAAAATTCTACACGCTAAATTGTAGCATTCTTTACACGAAACGTTATATAACAAATTCAGAGACAACAAATGTTCACATTCATTGCAAAATTCAAACGGGATTAGAAAATAATTATTTTCTCTCATTCACTTGCATTGACGATTTTTCAACCTAGAGGTCCAGCGGGGCTAGCGGAAGGGGCGGGACTTACCAGCTCTATTTTGTTTTTCTTCGTTTCCGATGTCGCAATACATCATGAAATCACGCATCATACTCTACCTTGTCTGTGGACATCATGGGGTTCATTCCAAAGCCGGTGCTGATAAACAGCAAGTGATGCGCTAGGCTAAATTATTTACCTCAGCAATAATGGACAATTCCGCTTCCAACCTGTAGGGCGACCGCAGAGGAAAAGTTACTTAGTGTTGCTTTAACAAGGTATAGACATTATGCAAATAAGAGATTCATTGTGCAGTGTTAACAGCTTCATTATTGATTATGTCGGATCTTAATGAGATCGCAATGATAGGGTGCTAGGATGAGTGACAGCTTGGAAGTGATTATAAGGGACCGCTCATTGTGTGCTTGCCATATATACGCTGTAAAAAAATCTTTTCATTATTAGTAATCACAACATTTTTTTCTTTTGTCAAATAAACTTAAATTATTTATTTAGTTCAGATAACATATCATTTTGTAAACCATTCTCCTTCATTGTATCAACTCACTTTTTACAGTTCAATGAACTTAACATTTGAAGGCAACCAGGTTACTTACTTTTTTAAGTTAAACCAACAATAGATTTAGTTTTTCATGCTTCGGCCAATATGTTCCGGAAGTGACATCCGCTAAATTCATGTATCTGAGTGACTATTATTATCATGCGTTTGACTATTATTGTCATGATTTTTTATTTTTTATTTCTTACGAAGAAATTATTTTGTGTCTCGTTTGATTGCATGGTTGAACCAGCCACTCATTGCCACTCGCCACTGGTCTGATGATGTTAGCCTGAACGCTGCACACTCAAAGCTACAAGATTAATGCATTCATTCATACATTTATTTACTTATTTATTTACACAAGTACTTTTCTTTTTACCTTTCACAACAGACAGATTAGAGGACAGGAAAGATGTGAGATGCTGTAATCCAATTTGTCCAGCACTTTGAATTATTACCATGAGTGCATCTCGTCTGAGCCTGTGTGTGTGTGTTTGCTTTGAGAGCTTTTTCCGCTTGTAAAGCTGAATTTTTGCAGCCTTTTCTGTTTTGTTGTTTGTATTCACGTCAAGATGGCACAGGACAGACGTGATGTTTACTGTAATCTAATATCATGTTTGTTGTGACGTTTGCTCTGTGCTTTTCATAAGCCTGTTTCAGTTGTTCTTTGGCTGCGTGAGGTCTAAATAAAGCCTGAAAGGAAAGTTCAAAGTTTCACATGTTCTGATTTTCTGAAAAGAAAAAAACACACATTTAATATTCCATCACCATGGAGACCAGACATGGAAACTATTCAACTTGAAAACAAGATGAAACTAAAAATCATATGCAAGTAGGCCTACAACATAATATTACAGAGCACAATAATATTACACCTCTCTAATGTTCACGATTAGTTTAACGACACTCCCCTTAGATTAGAATAATCATGCAAATTATCCTACATTTATAAATTGAATGTTCATTTATGTTTGGTATGTGCATTTTCCTAAATATGCTTATAGACTAAACAAAATATTGTTGGTTTAACTTAAAAAATGAAGTAACATGGTTGCTTTAAAATTTTAA